ATTACCGACTACTGGAGGAAATGGTCAGCCAAGTTGTTCTGCATAAAACCGGAATGGATCCGAACTTTAGGCATTTCGTCATCGACAGGGAAGCCTTGCTGGATGCCCTGCAAGGTGTGTCTCGATTTAATTTTCAACATCATTTTGTGCTCGCGGAAAGTCCGGAAAGAAAATTCTATTCATTCAGTTGAAATGTATACCTCCAAAAACGATTGTAACCTCCGAAAGTCACTGACAGTCACAAATACCATTGTGACATCTGTTGACTCACAAGCAATCCGTCATTGTAATGGACAAAGCAGAACAATTTATTAGACATGCAGGTATTTATTCATGTATTTCTTGATGAATTCTGGTTGCCTCTTGGGGGAGTTTTTACAAATGTTGAAGAGGATTAATCTTGATCCATAAATGTAGCCTAGTTGATGAAGCAGGGGGAAAGGCAATGAGCAGTGACATCTACTGTCGGTCAAGGAAATCGTCATGGTCGATTAGATGAAGTGGGAAGATTGAAAGAAAAAATGCCTCGCTGCTCATCAAGCGTTATGTTTAAAGGAAGATGCCACATTTCCGATTGCTTGTCGTTCTTTTTCATGAGTCAGGAACTTCTATATATTTTTTAAATTTTTTCATTTGAACACGACAGTGGCGACAGTTCAAGCGCAGGCGGAAATGCGCGGCGAACAGGAGCTGAGGAAGAAGCTGGACGAGACGTTGTTCATGAAGGAAGAGCTGGAGGCGACGTTGGAGCAGACGAAGCAGCAGTTGAACGCGTACGAGGCCGGAGGAGTGCCTCCGACTGGTGGCGCCGGCAGAGTCGTGGTGCCCCCGATCCCGCCGCCACTGCATGGCGGCAAACCCCCTGGAAAAGGCCCTGCAATCAGTGGTGGGCCAGCTGGTCCTCCGCCCCCGCCGCCTCCTCCTCCACCCCCGCCTCCTCCGCCGCCACCACCACCGCCGCCTGGAATGGGTAAGTTTCCGTGGATGAAATGCTGTCACAACTCCTTGTCTGCCGCCGAAAAAAAATAAAGCAGCTATGAAGAGAATTTCTTGGGGGAAAAAAAGGTGCTGTTGAGCAGACATTTTTTTCTCTCTGTTTGTGTAGGTGGTGGCGGTCCACCGCCTCCCCCGCCGCCTCCACCGATGCCTGGTGGGCCAGGAATGCCGCCACCTCCACCGCCGCCCCCAGGGATGATGGGTGGAGTGCCGATGTTTGGCGGGCCTGGGATGCAGGCCACTCCCCCGAGAGCCAAAGAAGAGCTGCCGTTTGGGATGAAACCAAAGAAGAAGTGGAATTTGGAAGGTGCTACTTTGAAGCGGGCCAACTGGAAAAAGGTTTTCGTTTGTTTTCTTCGAGTAAGCAACGCTGCATTTTTATTTATTGCCTCTTTTGTGTTTTGAATAGATAACGCCCCAAAAGTTGTCCGAAAAGAGTTTCTGGGTGAGTGTGAATGAAGAGAAGCTGGCGAAAGAAGAGGTTCTGGAAGGATTGAAGGAGAAATTCAATACGAAGCCGACGAGAGGTGGAGGTCTAGGAGACGGATCCGAAGGAGGTTTCGGTGGCAAGGTCAGTACGAAATAAAATGGACCTCTCTTTCGGCATATTTT